GTGTGCGTCCATACTAAACGCGCGGTCACTGGGGCCTAGGCGGGCGCGGCGAGCGGCGGCGTGCGGTGTCCACAGTGACACGCGAGCTCTTGCACTGGTTCCACGTATTATTAGAAGTTCTAAACTATGGGCGACGATTTGGTATTTTTACTAGACAGCCAGATCCTGAGATGGGAGCTGTTGAACATTCGAGATCGTCTGCACGAAATAAATAAAAACAGAGACACAACTGTTGATTTTTTTCAGTTGTATGAAGAACTTACCTACCAAATTTTTTTAGTACACTTGAATGCCCCTTTGACTACATCCTAAGTAAAATATCTGTGCTGCGGAAGTTTACTTTGCCATTTAGGTGGTTTAGATTAAATTGCATTTATAAACAATCCAGTATCCTGCATATTACAGAAATATCGACACGAACGGCCCTTGCTGGCGGCCGGCACGGATATCACGTATCTTGAAAAGTGACATTACGTATATGCCGATTTTTTTGACATTATGCTGTTATTTTTGACATTATGTAGGTTTTTCTACAAGATGTCAACTTAGCACTTAGTTGTACGTATTGCCTAAACGTCATGAGGCTTGTTATCAATCTTTGGCTCTGATACGATGTAAAATCTGCTTCTGAAATGGCATTACTGGAGGTCTAAGCTGTAAACTGTATGTGTTGATGATAATTAGATTGTGTTCTTGTCTCAAATACACTTAACTGAGATTAAAAACTAGAAATTAGTTGCGCATCCACTTTTTCTTATCCGTTCTGGAAATTACATATACAAATTTGCTGCATTTAAAAAATGAGAGAAATAAGAAATAATTATATTCACTGCACACTGTCGAATTACAAGCCATATACATGCTATACTACAACTATTTAAAACTGGAATGACTCATACGCGTGATCAACACGTGATCAGAGCTCGATCCCGGGTTCCTTCCAGTACAGCCGTATAGCGTACGACATATGTCGTTTCTGTGGCTTTGCGGTGGTCAACAGCACAGACAGAGATGGAAATAATGGCTGATTGTTCTCCGCCGGTAGAACCAATGAAATCAAAGACGCGCCTCGACCGGCAGACTCATAGGCGTCGGCAACGCATTGGAACGTGTTTCGTTGAGCGATCGCATATTGTGTGTTTTTATAAGAATTGTTGTGTTATTGTTGTGGTTTCTGTGGTTACTGTTTTGGTTATACTTAACCATGGAGAGTACAAATGGCACGAATGGAAGTACTGAAAGCCAGGGAACAAGTAGACGGCTTCGTAAAGCACTGAAGAGGGACGCGAAAGAAATCGGGCTCAACGTGTTCAATTATCTGAACAGAACTATGTCGCAGGGAGATGCACTCGCGCGTTGTGAAAGTATGACAGGCGTTCCAGAGTGGACCATTCGCAGGGTGGTGCATGAAAAGAAGAAAACTGGAGCTACTACTGATCCAAAGTTTAATTTGAAGGGACGAAAAGCCGTTAAATTGGATGACGATAGCAAAATGGCGTTAAGGCGAACCGTACATTCATTCTTCTTTAGGAATGAGATACCAACCCTCAAGGCTGTACATGCAGCGATCAAGGAAAATGAAATTATACCCCAAATGAGCGTCGAGGTAATGAGGAAATCCCTGCACGAAATTAATTTTCGTTACGAAACGAGTAATCGGAAGTCAGTATTGATAAAGAGACCTGAAATAGTCGCCTGGCGTCGAAAATACCTACGCGAAATGATTGAATATAGGCGACAAAGCAGAAAAATCTATTATTTGGACGAGACATGGGTAAATGCAGGTCACACAGTTAAAAAAACCTGGATAGACAAAAACGTAGTGAGTAACCGACAAGCAAGCATTGAAGGTTTGTCAACAGGTCTTCGTGGACCGTCAGGGAAAGGTCAAAGATTGATCGTAACTCATATTGGTAGCTATAGTGGCTTTTTAGAAGAGTGTGACTTGATTTTCGTCTCTAAGAAAGGAGGTGATTACCATGACGAAATGAATGCCAGCTGCTTCGAGAGCTGGTTTCAAGGGGTGCTTCAGCGAGTTGAGCCCAACTCTGTGATCGTCATGGATAATGCTTCCTACCATAGTCGTCGAGCCGAACGTGTACCAACTATGGGATCTCGAAAAAGTGACATGCAGCAATGGTTGCGCGAAAAAGGAATCCCGTTTGACGATTCATGTGTGAAAACGGAATTGTATGAAAAAATTAAACAGCACAAACCTGCGAACATTAGTTACGTGACTGATGAGATGGCCCTTCAATGTGGTGTCACTGGGCTGTGGTTACCGCCCTACCACTGTGAACTGAACCCAATAGAGCTCATCTGGGCTCAAATGAAGGGTTATATTGCGCGCCATAACACATCCTTCAAATTACCAGACATTAAGGTTTTACTTGAGACTTCCATACAGCTAGTAACGCCCGAAGCTTGGCAGAATGCTATCCGTCATGTTGTGAAGGAAGAAACAAAAATGTGGCAGCTTGACCACCACATCGACACCATCATAGAGCCAGTTATATCGACAGTTTATTACTGTCAGATGTAAGTGGAAGCGACGATGAATAAAGGTAATTCCCAAATTTTTGACTTACAATATGTTTCAAACCACTCTTTATTAAGCATGTGACAAATCTAGTTCACCCATGTTAAACATTCATACCCCGCCTATAACAGCCGACTACTGGTAGTTAAGTGATGTTCACGTGAACATCGATGAGTCATTACAGTTTTAGATAGTTATAGTATAACAGTAATTACACACAACGCGGGTGCGGTGATGATTTCCCGTAATTCTCCTCAGTTTTTTGTAATTTACAACTTTGAACATAACCTATCATCAGAAAGCACAACATAAAAATAATCCGTCGGGCAGCCAATAGATATACTTCATTGGCAGCATATTCAGTAATGATTTTCTCACACAGCAAATATTACTGATTTTGTACACATGCAGACCAATACACATAATCATCCAGATGCGATCTTGCTATTCAACCAACTTTCTTCTCAGAGATAAAAACTACAGACAAGGACCATTTGGCCTCACAAAACATATGCAACCAATAATGTGTTTAGTTTAGTTGAGTGATTCCTCCTTAAATGGACGTTCACAACGATCCTAGTGAGCAAACGTGGAATGACTGCGCCCTAAAAACTACCTAGTTTGCAAGATGACAGCTTATAGGTTTTTTTAGACGTTTTATAGGTTTTTTACATGATACCCATGCCGCTTGGCGCGATGTTGCTATTTGATTATTTGTTCTTGCACTTCGAAATTCTCAATAGACAAAATGGAGTATTTTATCGACAGTGTAAGAAAACATCCATGTTTATGGAAGGAAGACTCGAACGAGTATAAAAATCATGATATTAAAGAAGCAGCTTGAAGGAGTATCATCGCTGATTGCGAAATATCGACGGTATGAACTTGTACATCTTTATTTTTATATACATGGGTAGTTTAAAAGCTAATAGTAGGGGGGGCAAGAGGGGATTGTTGGATTTACTCAAGCGCGGCAGATTAACATATGGGGATACCTTGTTAATTAAATACACTGTACTGTGTACAGCACAGATCAGCAGATCAGCCTCCGCACAGAAATGCTGAAAAATCGGTAGGTTCGGCAACACTGCTAGAAAGATATGAAAATACATATTCTGTAGTCCGTTGCAGTCATAATATAATAGACTATAATATAATATTATATTATCGTTCACCGTACGTATAGCTTCAAGTGGCTCTGGAAATGCAAGGGCGAGCCTGGCATAATGGCCCTAACGCTGAAAAAATGATTATTAAGGCGCCTATTAATTATTGTTGGTATTCCCTATACCCTATACAACTGGAATTATTCGCATATTTTTCGGTCTGTAACATACCTACCTTATTTTCCCTGTATTATTCTGAGAATATTTCATTTGATTATTTTTGAAATGCTGCTTTGTTTCGAAGATAGAGGGTGAACCTTGTTTGCATGGACGCCCATATAGCAAAATCCAAGAGGGGGGCGCAATGCTGAGAACTAGCCAACTCGTTGGTCATAAATGAAGATTGGGGGAGGGGGGTCGGGTTGGCGGCGGTGTTCATGACTAGATTGATTTGAAATATTTCTTAATATCCTATTGCATGAAATATTTATTTTAAATACAACATACGTAGGAATCAAACGTATACGACCAAAAGCGGATTTATAAACTTACACTCCCAGTTTGTTAATGGAAAATGGATGAGAAAATTAACCAAATAGCTTCAAATAAATTATGTAATTCTATAGGAAGTAAATCATTACTATCTACTCTACATTAGGCATAGTTTCCGCAAAAGTCAAACTACAAATCTCAACCCGCCTGCCGAACGATGTTGTGCAAGTACACTAATTTCAATTTGTTATATTGGCAGCATTAAATTCAATTTTGGAAACGCAATCGAAATATTTATAAGCGTACCTATGTTGTATAAATCTCATTCAATATGCATTTTTGGGTGGTAGATATAATAACGTCGGCTATTCGACTAGCATTATTTAATTTTACGTACCAGTTTTTCAAGTCATCTACAATAATAAGACGCGTTATTCACGTTTTTTTGTAACAACACATCAATCAGCAATCAAATGTAAAGTACATAATTGAATCGTGCGCATCATCCCCTTAACACCGCTGTCTGGCAGCCAATCTAAGGCTACAGGAGTCTTATTGATACCCTAGGGCGAAGCGCAGTTGCCAACTGTTCAAAATGGTAGCAGAAATAATATCTACTATGTTGAGATGTTTCTTACCCAAGGATTGAGTATCTTATTAACAACATTTCACTTTGAAGCCAAGGGTGTTTAAGATATATTTGATGATTTTTGAAAATGGGTTGAATAGTAAGGAGATAAATCAATAGCTAATATTTTTAGATGGTAAACAAATTCAAGATAAAATACTTACCGAAGGCAATGAGTTCATAAATGTTAGTATGTTTAAAAATAAATCTTCATTCGTAACGAACAACATTAAAATATTTGTCAAAGACTATATTTTGAACGAAATCAGAAAATAACAATATGGCAATTACAACTTATTCAATTTACAACTTAAATTCTTCACAATTTATAGAATCTGAAGACTCGAATATATTTCTCGACCTTCCACCGGTTGCTGTATCTTGTGAACTTAGCTGCCTATATTTGTTTAAAATATTAGTAATGTCGTCTTTGTTTTGCTTGAAATAACCATCTGGTGTAAATGTTTGATTATGTATGCCAGACATAGAGAAATCAGGCTTAAACGTCATTTGGGATTGTTCCATTGACATATTTGACGCCTTTCTAACAAAAGACGTGATTCCACTTCTGTCTGATTGTGAGTACTGCCCACATTTTATGTCAGTCTTGCTCATTTCGGTTTTGAAACCTTGGAAGTTGAAACCACCTGATGTCGATTGGTTTTCTAAATTGAAGTCAGGTTTGAACATCGGTTTCTCGCTTGTCTCAGACGTCTTTCTCGTGAAAGACATGGTTATGCTGCCATCTGTGTACTCTCCGGCTTTCATTTCGATTTGGTCAAATTTGAAAGCGCTTTCGGTTTTTTGAAAATTGAATCTGAACGACGAGTAGTTTCTCTCGTCGGAATCCAAGAATTTTTCGAAACACCTCGCGTTTTTATCGCTGAACATTGACATGTCGACGTTTTCGTTGGAGAAGTGTTTTCGTAAGGCGGTTTGCTTTCTTTTCCTGGGCTTGCTAGGTTCAGCTGGAATTACCTCAACACCTTGTTCAGTTTTCCGTATGAGGGCTAGGTGGGTCGTATTTTGGACTTCCTAGGATTCAATGAAGAAACGCTTCAGGTTGAAAAAAACAATCACGAAGTATTTTCGCATCCGCTCGGAAAAATACTCTGATCCTTTTTTGCATAAGTCTTCAAAATGGACCTCTTTTAACATATCTACATGTTGCCAGTTCCAAAATTGCGTCAAAATTGCTGTTACATTTTTAAATAAATTCCAAAAATTGTTTTGTGCTCCAATCCTGGCTGAAGGCAAATTACATATATTTCGCACTATTTCGAATATTAAATTGCTCATACAGGCCACAACAAGGGCGCATTTCTTAATCAAATTTATAGTCTAATCATATTAGCAAATAATAGTAAAGTCTGTTTTTATTGGTGCAAGTTGTTCAAGGGGGTATTCAAAATTTTTGTGGGAAAACTTTTTATTCGACAATAAGGTAAGAGAAAACGTGTTTTTCGGGATTCAATCGAAAGTGTTGACAGGAATGAATAATGTTTTCAAATAAGATTTTTTGGTATTTATGAGACCTAGAAATGAGACCACACGAAAAAAGATCCGACTAATAGCAAAAATATTATGGCCGAAAAACGAGGCAAAATGCAGGTTTTTGTATTTTGCTATAAAATACCCTTTGTACTAACCCTGTATATTGCTAAATAAACCAATAGTGATGGCCGAAAAAAGGTGTTTTGGGATAAACAATTAGAACGTCTCAAAAACTACTTGACCAATCTACTCCAATTTTGTTATGGTTATTTAGAAGTATTAGTCCTACGAATTTGAAGAATTCCAAGTATCTGTAGTCTCATTTTGTAGGTCTCATAAATACCAAAAATCTTATATGAAGAGTTTTTCGTTCCTGCCAATATTTTCGATTAAATCCCAAAAAATACATTTTCTCATTCTTTGTTGTCGTTGAAAACCTTTTTCCCTAGAAAAATTGGTGTACTCATTTTATGCGTCCATGTTTTGAATACCAGACTTTCCAATCATTTCGCACACCAGGGGTATTTTCGTCTAATATGATTAGACTATTAAGTCACATAAACATGTCCAAAAATGTCTCGTTTTCGGGATACAGGGTATCAAAGTTAAAAAAAATATTTTTATTAATTTCATAAATTCTTTGAAATTTGGCTGTTTTATTCATTGCAATAAGGACATACGCACTACTTAGAGGGTAATTATGAATTCCATTCGCGTCTCGGGTGTCAGTATCAGGGATAATGTTGACAAAGAAAATGTACGCCACTAACTTGAAAAAAAAATTTTCAAATTAAGCACATAGAAATACAACTTTTCGTCCCTTGATATCTCTTTGTATCTAACAATCAGAAGTTTTCGGACATATGGGCTTATGCACGTTTTTCCTCAAATTTGGGTCAAGAATGCGCCCTTAATATTATGGCCTATCATCATGTATGTTGAAAACTTTTAGCTTCAGAGAAAAAACCTAAAAAAACCTTGGTCGAAAGGAAAAAAAGAAAAATTTTGAAATTCGTTTTGAATAAATACTTATACGAGTATAATTTCTGACTAATATTTGAGCATAGATTCGTTAAAAGGGTTTTTTTGTATAATCATTATAATGAAACCGTAGAATCAGAATATTTTTCCGAGCGAATGCAAATATACTTCTTGGATACAAAGATGACGCTTCTAGTGCTGATTAGTCCGAGATATGGTTATCGAAAATTTTTTGAGTGACAATGCATATATCCGTAACATCAAAAATGAAGCATGACAAATTAAAACAAAATATATGTATATAGAAGCGTGTCGTGTAGAAAAAATGATCAGGTACTAAAAACTATAAAACGTGTCCCAAAACTCATGCAAGATTTGAATTAAATAGAAAACACTGATGATTTTTTGACACATTCTGTGTAAGTGGTATGTATTTTAGTATATATCAATGCTTCCACTTAAGGGTATGTTCATATCGATCGGCCGATGATGTGCGCAATATACCGGGTGGTTCAAATTCGAGCCTCACCACTGGGATCTCGTAAACGGTACATCGAAGTCCCAAAATCGATTTAATTTTCTGACTTTATTTGAAGTAGGATTTCGAAATAAATTGCACATTAACTTTGCCACTTTTTCTCCTCTAAAAGAAGGCATAATTAGAATTTCAATATGACATTTCGGCTCTTGTCCTCCAGCGTCAATTTTATTTTTTCATATGGGCACCATATTGGATTTTTGCGCAGATAAATAGAGTTTTTAATTCTAATTTCAAAAATATATAATATGTCATACAATGAAATTGTCAAATATTAATTATTCCTTAGGAAAAGAAAGGAAATAAATCGAGCAGTGAGCAATGCACAGAGAAGAGACAGGCTTTGCCTACAAAACAACATTTTAAACATCTACTATGATTAACCTCTGCTTAGTTATGATTATTATTGTTATTAATATCAACAAAATTTTCATTTTGTGTTCAACCTTTTTATTTGCTTATGTGTAATTTTCATCCAACAACAAACTCGTGGCCAATTAAGGAAATACATCACTGAATTTAGGACTGAAACGTCCATTTAAATGAACAAAATTCCTATACAGCGTCCATATGAAAAAACAAATTTGGTGATGGAAGTCGAAAGAAAAAACCTTGAATTGAAAAATTGATTACGCCATCTTGTAAAACAGAATAAGTAACAATGACAGGATGCAATATATTTTGAAATCCCATCTCAAATAAAGTCAGGAAAAAATAAAAATTATTTTTAAATCTGGTATGCAAAACAAATGACTATCTGATAATTTCAAGGCCTACCTAGGAAATTCCGCTTTTTTTAAATAACTTAGGTTTGGAAATATCAATGCATGCAGTATCATACATTTTTGGAGTAAGAATTGAAAACTCTACTCATCTTTGCCAAAATCCTATATATAGTGTCCATAATAAAACACAAAGTTGATGCTGCTGGAGGACAAGAGACGAAACGTCACATTGAAATACAAATTATGCCATCTTGTAGAGGAGAAACAGTGGCAACGTTAATGTGCAATTTATTTTGAAATCTCACTATGAGTAAAGTCAAGAAATTTTCCCAATCACCTAAATAAGCAACTTTGTACTAATTTGACCGAGTTAGTACATTTCTCGAGATCCCAATGGTGAGGGTTTAATTTGAAACATCCGGTATATGCCGCATAAAAGCAGAAGAGCCCTCAGATCACTAAGTCACATGAACAGCGGCTCAAGAAATAAAAGTACTTGAATATCTTTTCTAGATAATTGTGTTCTCTGCAATCTTTGTATAAGGTATTTTTGTGGCAACTTTTTCCGTTTTAGAAAAATCTGGCAAATGATTTTTGCCATTTCTACCCAAAGAAAACAAGGTTCCGCTCTAAGGACATATGAGGAGTTTTGACATATTGTTCATAATGGTGTATGCAAGGTCTGTACCAATTTTCGGCTTTGTAGGAATTTTTGCAAATTTAATTTTTATTTTGACTGTATTATAATTAAAAATATATAAAGCAAAAGCATCTTAAAATCCGTTCAACATGATTCAATATTATAGGGAAGCTCGAAAAACAAAACTATATTTAGTTTACCTTGACCCTGGGTCTGTTCATCAGCCTCTCCAAATACTTGGACATATCTGATGAATTAGGTGTGCTTTTTGTTAGTTCAAAGAGCTTATTGTCTTGCATTTCGAACTCTTCCCGAATTTCCTTTGCAGACAGTTTTCGGGGAGGTATGAATTTCTTCGTTACTTTCGAATTTGGTTTGGTCAATTTACTATTCAATGACGACTCGGTTTTTGATTGGTCTTGAGGTATTTTTTTCCTTTTGGTCATCTTCTTTTGTTTGCTGTAAAATTTCATATCACATTAAACACAACCATGTCTCTGTTTGTAAATCACTATTAATTAATACGAAAATGGAAGCATTCCGGCAACCAAAACATGTCAGCGCGTTGAGGCATAAGCTAACAACAAGGGACGGCAAGGGTGTGAGGTATTCGAATGACGGTGACTTTCTGGCGTCTAATACGTGCTGAGTAAGAATACTAACAGCCTTAAGTTTTAAGTGTGCATCCATATTGCGAGCCTAGCGCGGTAGCAACGACGGGCGCGAAATATCAAACATTATGAAACGCGCATTTGCGTCCATAGTGTAGTGACTGAGGCGGAAACCTAGGGCAGCGGGACCTTGCGAGACAGGCGCGTAGTTTTAAAACGTTCCTGTTCCGCGCTTTCTGGCCACACCACGGGCCTAATCAGCAAGCGACCTAACGCGCGGTGGCGGCGGTAACAAACCAGTTCGGTGTATCCATGATTATTGTATTGTAATGGCGGTTACTGAATTGTTTATAAGTGCAATTTAATCTAAACCAGCTATTTGGAAAAGTAAACATCCGCAGCACAGATATTTTACTTAGGATGTAGTTAAACGGGCATTCAAGTGTATTCAAAAAAATTGGTAGGGTATAATCTCAGTTCTTCATACAACTGAAAAAATCCAGCAGTTGTTTCTCTGGATTTATTTATTTCGTGCACACGGCCGCTCGCCGCGTCCGCCTAGGCCCCAGTCACCGCGCATTCAGTATGGACGCACACTTAGGCGCAGCTCTCATTCAATGTCGAGAAAAAATCAGTTTTTTTTTTCTAGGAAAAAATCAAATAGTTTTTTATTCTAGAAAAAATATAATAAATAATAACCGATATGTTTTTGAATACAGGGTGTCCGCAAAGTTGGGGTTTTCCTTTACACGACGTGTGAAAACATAAGCAATTTTTCTTAGTACCATATACACCAATGTCTTAAGGGAACCGAGATAAAGGGCTCTGCAACATCAAAAATATCTGAATACCGTCCTGCAGCCGCGACCCGCGACATCACCGAGTGGTACAAGGTCACTGGCTCAACCCGACGACAGAACTGGGTCGGGTCAGTATGCAACCTTCAACCGACCGTTACGGTCACGCGTGTAGAGGTAAACGAACCCGTATAATCGATTGCGTTTCAAAAAAAAATAATGGCTCACTCATACACCAATAATGAACTCGTTGATATGTTGTTAATTTATGGCGAATGTCTTCAAAATGCTACAGAGGCTTCGCGAGTGTATGCAGATCGTTTCTCTAGACGACATCATCCAAGGCCCCGCAGATTTGTGTACCTGGTCCAGAGAGTCAGGGATACGGGCCATTTGGAGGAATTTCGAGGTGGGCACAGTGGGAGGCCTAGACAACCACGAATGGTGCAAGTTGAGGAAGAACTACTGAATCGCGTAGACGAGAATCCCTCAACAAGCACTAGAGACGTGGCTAGAGAAGTGCAAGTATCAAAAACTAAAGTGTGGCAAACGCTGCGTGAAGAGGGGCTGTATCCGTTTCACGTCCAACGTGTACAAGCCCTTCAACCTGACGATTTTCCAGCAAGAGTGCGGTTTTGTGAGTGGTTGTTGCATCAACATGACAATAATCCGGACTTTTTGAAGTGCATATTGGTGACAGACGAATCTACGTTCACGCGTAATGGGGTGAATAACTTTCGCAACACTCATGTTCGATCAGTAGAAAATCCGCACGCTGTCCGTCGGGCACATTTTCAACAAACATTTTCGGTGAATGTTTGGGCTGGCATGGTGAACGGTATGCTCATTGGACCATTTATTCTCCCAAATCGATTGGAGGGGATGCAATACCTAGACTTTTTACGCAACATTTTGAGTTCCTTGTTAGAAGATATGCCATTAAGTGTAAGACAATCAATGTGGTTTCTGCACGATGGTGCACCGCCCCATTTTAGACGCGAAGTGCGTGAGTTTTTGAATGAATTATTTCCGAATAGGTGGATCGGACGTAATGGACCCGTAGCGTGGCCTCCGCGATCTCCAGACTTAACACCATGTGATTTTTTTCTTTGGGGAGAAATGAAACGCTTAGTGTACAAAACTGATGTGCCTACGGTTGACGAACTTCGTCTCAGAATTGAACAAGCTGGTGCTTTCATTCGGGGGAGGGACTCCATTCTCAAAGCCTGCACCGATGCTTGGCTACGTCGTGCACGCACCTGTGTTTTTGAATCAAACGGCGATAACTTCGAACAATACCTATAAAGTACGTTTACCTAAAAACTGAAAACGCGGCAACGCCGTCATATTTGTTACCTCTGTTCGTGGTCTGCACCACCGCCTGCGTCTGCTCGGTAGCGCATCAATTTCATTTTCTGTTGGAGCGGTATGATTTCGGGCAGAGACGTACTTAGCCCTTCTCGTCAACTGGAGAGTGAGTACTTTTTCCTTTATTTTTTTTACTTGGTCGCCCTCGTTTCACTACACATTACCTTTGTTATTTCAAGGGTAGTTGTTTCTGAAAAGGACAACCCCAACTTTGCGGACACCCTGTATATACCAATTTTTAAATTTCCGATATTTAGAGAGTTATAAATTCATTAACTTATTGTTTGGTAATACATACAAATATACTAGAAAAGGAGTCATAACATATTATCAAATGAGTTTTTTTTTTCTAGAAAGGGCTATAACATTTTTTTTTCTTCGACAATGGCTGAGAGGTGTGCGTTACAACTGAAAGGTGTGAGTACTCTTACTGGGTGGGTATTACACCCAAAAACCGAACCACGATTTGAGTACCGAACACTCATTGCAAGTGATATAAAAAAATCCAATGATAATGAATTTATTGCAATAATGTTTTGTATACAAGTCTCTTAGGGTTAGTTAAGTAATGGATCAGAATTTCAGAGCAATCTAACCGTTAAAAAAATGTAAAAAATGTATCATTCGTTGAGCATCCACGGTATCTTATCAATTCAGAAACACGTCTGTGTATACTCCTAATAAGATGATCGATTTTCTGTTGTGGATTCTCATCCCTGACTAATTGTACTCATATATCATATTCTTCCTATAATGTCTCGGACGAGGTCTGAATTCTCACGATTCAGGTCTAGCAAGGTAATTTTTATACCCAGGCACAAAACCTATTTTATCGAAAAAAATAACAGACATGGGCGTCTAGGGGAAGCCGCCCCTTCGCCCCCTACTAAATCTGCCCTTGGACTGAGCATACCCCCAAAAGCGTACAAGTGTCAAAATGCTTCAAGTTCATTATTACCACAAAACCGTGCATGTTCAACTTTCCAACATTACATCGCAAATTGCATCATAATATCAAAAGGTACCAATCCACATAGAACTTGCGGAAGGGGTTGATAAGTGGTGGTATCAAAACCACCGAGTTTCTGGTTCAGAAATAGAGACCCTCGGAATCGATTCCTAATGCAGTGTCGCTCCCTTGTAAGCGTTTATTAACACCGATGGTATGACTTGGAATGGAGAAGATTCGTGATATTCAGAATTGCATAAGTAATGACATACGAGCAAAATATGCATGAAATATAATCAACCAGTAAAAAATTATTGAAATCGGTAAATAAATGACAGAGAAATTAATACTTGAAGTTGGCGCATTATAGCGCGAAATCATTGCTGTCGTCAGTTTGCGTTTGACGTCACACTTCGCTAGTGCCGAGCGTGCCGACAGCGCGTTTAGTAATTAGTCTATAGACAAATCATAAGACACACCTGTGCGCTCGGACACGTGGTTTCTAGATGATAACTATTGAGTACTGCGTAAGTTCGTTTTTGGAAGAATACAGTATTTATAATAACCTTTTTTTATTTCGCTCATAACCGATCTTATATGTAGTCAACTAATTAAACAAACTGGCGCGGAAGACGTTTAGCCTACCACGCGCAGTACGTGTGCCTATCTATGTGTGTAGAAAATTGAGGTGGCCACGTCGCAACTGGATAGCGAAGTGTGACTTCACGCATCGCGTTCTGACGGAATAAAAATATTCTCGTGGGGCGCAGCTTTGATAGGCTGTATTTTTTGTTTTTATAGATAAATTAATAATTTTTTCATCATCTTGTTTCATTTTTCATACCATTTCATTTGAGCAATAGCAAAAAATGGTAAACTTGTCCATTGTGGAAATCGGAATCGAAATGAGTAGGTACTTTGAAAACAGATAAGGGTGTTTGGTTCTGCTACTGTCTGGTAGATGGCGCCAGAATCGTCAGTATCTTACGGAACACGGAATATGTTTATCAAGGACTGAAGACACCCAATTAAAATAGGCAGTACAGAGACACCGAAAAGGGATTGAAAATCCTATTGCCATCTATGAGACAGTAGTAGAACCAAACACTCTTTTCAAAGTCGATTTCTAAATTCTTTATGTGCAACTGCCTCATAGCCGGCGCGAGTATCGTTCAGATGGACACCGCAATGGTTCACCACATATTCAGTCAGAACACGTTAATCAATAATATAGCAGAAGAGCTCAGGACCAACAGCGCATCATTTTGGATCTGATGCTTATTTTCTTGCTTCTGGTATAAATTCTACCTGACGGTAATTGATGACCACCGAAACCCGCAGCGCGAAATCGAACTGATATATCCCTAACCTACAGGCTCCAGGCTCCCATTATTTGTTGTGGTATTTTTTGTAACTAAATACTCACGTGACAATGTTGAAATTGCCTTCACCCGTTGTAGACTTGCTCTCATCGTTTTTTAAATTGCTCGTGTTCGAAGATTCGCGAGGCGTGATCGTGGATTCTGAGGCGTGATCATTTTCCATTATGGTGATGGTTGTGGTGTCCGTTACGTGGTCCAAATTGCGCTTTTTCGATGCACTCGATACGCTGGTCACTGGGGACGAACGTTTTTTGTCGCTGCTAGTGGATCCGCATGACGTGTGGAATTTTGTGTCTTCTGTGACGGTTTTGGAGTCTTCAGAGGTATCTGAGGACAGATTGTGTCATTTAGATTGTCCCAGTACTTGTCCCAATGCGCATTATTTATGAAATATTTTATTACAGACAATAAAAAATACGTCGGATCTTCAGAAATTATTCAAGTATGACTTCAGAGACTTAAGAGATGGTGTAAAATGAATTTCGAATTTCAGATCAAAAGAAAAATGAACAAAACCAAAAAATACTACGGCCATATCAATTTTGGACTTAAAAGATATATAAGACATGGCGTCAAGTACTGCTCCCATGCAACGATCATTAGAGGCACACGTTAGTTCCTCTGAGAAAAAAGCTATAAAAAAAAATAAATGGATGAAGTCACTCGAATAGGTTCATTTTGGGGATTTTATTTTATATGAATACTTGTGCAAAAGACGTATTTACCTCAACTCAGTAAAGTAAAAACATTATGACTCGTTTTAAAAGTTTTCTACTATAAAAAATCTGATTGGCGAACACAAATGAGGAACAAATTGTGAGATGTGAAAAAACTTCGTTAGACAAAATACGTAATTAAGGACGTTTTAATTTTAAACATGCAAATTAATCTGAAAAGGATCGTTAATTTATTCTCACCTGTACAATTATCCAAATTTCGCATTCTTGAGGCATCTGTAACACCAATCGAGGATTCCTTTTTGTCACCTGATTCACTTGAGGTATGATCTTTGATAATTACTAACTTCTCATCTTCCACTTTGTTATTTGTTTCAGTATTGTGATTATCCTTCATATAACTTTTGCCTTCAGGAATATCTCGACCTCCAATGTTATCAATTCCTATATGGGTCATTTGTTCTTTAGCGTCTCCTTCATCATCACAAGAAACGAACCTTGCAATGATTTTTACAGGTTGTGCTGACGACATTTGTACTTCAATGTTAAATTGATCATGAGCAGATTCGTAATCAGTCGATCTTCCAGTAACACTTTTAAAGGATGCAGTTGATTGGTCCAATGCATCGGACGCCTTTTCAGTTACTTTATTTTGAGAACAGGCAATACTTTCAAATGATTCATCTTGATCTACTGCTGCTATTTCACAAGTTACAGGATCTTTCCCAAATTCTGTTTCCTTATAGGACTGCTTTAGTTTGTTCTCATGTTGCACAGCTCGAATATTTTCTTGACTGTTTGCATCTTCACTTGTAATATCTTCATCATAACCCGCTTCATCAGTTTCACGAATTTCCGTATCATCGCAAACTTCTCTATTATCTATATCATAATTTTGGTCAACATTTTGCAAGTCCAAATTTTCAGCAACCACATCTCCTGAAATTCTATGACCCTGCGCTTTATTGACAGCACTGATAAGAGTTCCTTTGGGAGTCAAAATAATATGTTCTAAAATGTCAATTTCTCCTGGTTGTACAAATGGTTCTTTTGTACTTGAATCATCCTCTTCTATTGATAATGTTTTTTCATCTGGTCCCTCGATAACGTTCACCAGGATTGGAGATAAGTAATATTTGTATGTGTTTGGTTTCGCAAATGTATTTCCTTCATTTTTGTCTGCAACCTTTTCGCCTGTCTGGTCCATATTTTTTCCACCTTCGCATTTCTTAATTTTCGAAAAATAGTTAGGTTTTTTATGTTTGGATGGTTTCGGTAATATCGTGTTTTCTTCAAACTGGATATTTGTTAAATTATATCTTTCTGCATTTTCGGGTCTGATTTTTGATAGGAATTGCGGGTCGTTTATTTGGGGTGACGTTTCAGGGAATATATTGGGTTGGGGTTGAGGTACATTATCTTTACAGACTTCGATTTCTTCAGAACTCATCAATCTCTTAAAGTCATTTTCAATTGTCCCTTCTTCATTTATTTCATATATTGGTTGTTGACCAGCGTTATAATACTCAGTATATGTATTAGTCATTGAGACATCGGCAATCTGTCCATGTTTTGAAATATTTGCGGCAAAATTATTGTAATGATCATCATCGGGATCAGAAACATCATTTTGTTGTTTATGAGTTTTTGTAAAGGTTTCATCTATTGGAATATCAAATGTTTGGTCTTGAAAAGTATTTCTATCCACGTATTTAGCTTCATTAAAATCGTCGTCATCGACTAACATTTGGCTGCAGATTTCTAAATCTTCTTTTATAGATTCAAGTTCATCTGACTGTTGAAAAGAAAATGCGTTTATATTGCAGCTTCATGAAAATTTTAAGCGTGATAGGTGATAAGTGAAATATAAGACCTGATTTCAAAATTTTGAGCCCCTTAAATTTTTTTGACCTTGCTAATCAGAAACTGCCGGGAAATGAAGCTTAGAGATTTAAAAAAATGTTTGACACTTCCGAAAGAGAATTTGTCTACAACTCAAAATGGCCAGAACATCCATTTACAAAGCTTTTTCGTCCTCTGGAAAAATATTGACGTACGGCACTGGCGGATTTAGAGGGGGACTGGACGTCTGACATTTGCCTTTGTAATCTAACACCATTGTGTTACTTTCTGACACATCATGGCGGCAGAGACATACTAACTATAACTTATAGCTATAGGAACAGAGCATTGCGAGTTTTTGGTATCTTTTGGTATTCCACAGGCTGTCGCTCTTTAACATAACCTACGTTTACAGCACAATTCTTACGATTTATACGTATATACGAGTAAACTATTCGTCATTTGTTTGTCTGGGGGATCCGTAGGACCTTTGCCCATTAGTCACTGTCTTATGTACATTAGTCGAATCTGTCAGTCCTGCCCAGAAACCAGTCAATCTCGAGGAAAAAGAGAAAGCGAACGAGACGAAAAAAGGAAAAGAGCAAAGAAAAACAGATGTGTAGATTGAGAGGAAACACCTAGGCTTTTTGACTTGGTACACGGATTGAGGTGAACTAAAAACATTTGATTCGGTTTTGTTAGAGTATAATTTCAAGTTTACTAAAAGATCGCGCTAATTTTTTATTACAGTGCGAGCCGTGGCCTTGAATGCTTACGAACTTGCTCCACTGTGTAGTCCACTGAGTCGCGCAACAGACGGTTGCTGTGCGATTCCGCTTGACTATAACGTCGCTGCGCGTGAAGCTTGACATAATCCCTCAAGTAAGGAATGTCAAGGTCTCTGTAGTGTCTCATTTGAGAAATACTATGGAGCGTTGCAAATTGTTCGCAAAGTTCTTCTTTGCAGTACTTGAAGACTTTGCATGTGTATTTTGGCAGCCGCACATACATAAGTAATGGCTGGTCCAACAATCATTTTATATAGGTGAACTTTGTTTATCAAACTCAATTTGGAGGATCTACATAACAGAGGATATAGTTGCCGAAACGAAATTTGGAATTTTGTTTTCAAGGATGCTGTATGTTTCTGCCAGGTCATGCCTTTATCAAGAGTGTCACCGAGGTACTTGGCAGAATATGTCCACGGTACACGATTGCCGTCTACAGAAACCTCTGCTGGGGGGCCGCGACGTTTTTTGGTACAATAAATAGCCTGCGTTTTCGAATGATTAATTTTAATTTAATCAGCCACCGTTCCGCCCACTCGTTAGGATAGAGGTAGACTTCACAGTTGCGGGGCAAGGGATATCATGGATAAAAAGCGAATAAAGGATTGGTCCTAAAACCGAACCCTGAGGAACACCGGCTCGAACTGGCCGTGTTGTTGACAAAACATTGTTAATTTTGATCCGAAACTTCCTTCCTTCAAGAAAGGATTTCAATAATTTTAGAAGCCAAAAAGGAAAACTCTTTTGGATTAGTTTATAGAGGAGGCCCGCGTGCCACATCTTGTCAAAGGCTTTTGAGACATCCAAAAGCAAGATGTCAGTACTCATGCTGAGGGTGAACTCTCTGGTTACATGTTCCACCAGCCTGACTGCCTGTAGCCCGGTTCTATGCTCGGACCGAAAACCGAATTGAACGTCAGGAATCACATGGTGATTTGACGAAAAATTCTCAGAGTGGCGATAAATCACCTTTTCGGCGAGCTTAGAAGGGGCTGACAGCAGATTAATGAGACGGTAATCCTGAGGAAATATCGAACCCACCTTTGGAATCATCACCAAATATGTCAGAGCTTTCAATGCCTTGTTGGTAATTTGATTCTCCCCAGGTGCTTTACGCTCCTTGAGGTCTTTAATATGACGTAGGAGCTCCGCTGGTGTGCAATGTGGAACTTCGGAGGGTTCCGCTAATGTGCTATGTGGAGCCTCAGACAAATCTTCTGAAAAAGACCTATCTGAAGAGGATTCAGTGCGTCCGCTAACGCCGTTGGCCCTAAAATATCTCCTGACAGATCGTACGATATGTTGTTCGTCGTCGAGGTCATTATCAAGATCATTCATGGGAGAGAACTGTTTTTCCATGGCATCAGCGAAAACCTCGACCTTATCCTCCGTTCTGAAGACTATGCCTTCATGGACAAGATCTCTACGAATGTCATCAGGATGGCAAGACCATTTTGCCTGCTTAATATGGGCTCTTTTGTCAGAGATTTTCTGACGAATGTACGCAGGCAAAGAAGGTCTGCCGGGTCGTTGTACAGGAACTACAGCTGCACGCTATAGAGCTGTTTGATTGACGTATACATACGAGTATTGTGACTTGGGTCTGAGTAATATATTAGCTATACATGTACAGATTGATTTTGTAATCTAACACCATTGTGTTACTTTCTGACACATCATAGCGACAGAGGCATACTAACTATGAGTTATAGCTCTAGGAACTGAGCATTGCGATTTTTTGAAATCCTTTAGTACTCCAAATGCTGTCCCTCTTTGACATCACTTGTTTACAGCACAATTCTTACGATTTATACGTATATATGAGTATTGTGACAAATCTAAGTCTGGGTAGTATATTAGCTATAGGTACTGATTGCACTTAAAAAGTGATTTCAAATTACTATTGAGCAACAAACAGAACACAAGTGTGTAAAGCTTATCTGATTTTGTTCGGGGTTGGTGTTGCAGCGAAGCCACTATGTTAGATGAACGCCTAAATTGGAAATAAACATTTATGAGATTTGTTTAGCGGCCTGTGGCCTGTCCAGAAACTGCGTCAATTTATTTATTTTGCTATATTGAATTCGTTTAAATCAAAAAAGTTCGGCACTACACCTGAATATGTACAGCCCTCTATTTCTATACTTGTCTCGTACAAACATACATTATCAAAATAATTACGATCTAACAAATATAGTTCTTTCCGAAGATATAAAATACGTATTTTTACATGCGATCAACACCGATTCGAAAACTGAGAAAACAACATCTATGCCGTAAATCTAAGTTCGACAACGAACGTGTGAAGTATAACTGTAACATCTATATTGAATTTCAAAAAATAATTGACTATACCTATCGATATTTTTATCACCTGCTGATATAATAGAAGTGCTTGATTGTGTTAGTATTTGCACCATTTACTCGATTTGTTTAATGGGCAGTTCGGAGTCTTAATCCTTAAACTGAGTAAACACTAGTAGACCCCGTTGCGCAATTTGTCTATAGGCAGTCTGGAGACGGTTCAAGATGCGATCTACAGATGGTCTATAGACATCCTTCTTTGTCTCGTGAAGAGTCCATACGATAATGTGAATTTTTCGGTCGCATGTCATCAAAGACATTGTTTTGTGTGAAATGGGATATATCTCGGGGGTCCCTCAGAATAGTTTTTTTTTCGGTTAACAGAGCAATGAAGTTTTTTATGTTTGAATCTTTAATGTTATTACACTAGTTAATTATAGATGCCACTTATTTTGTTCAGATATAATAAAATACTGCCTTACTGAGGATTTCTGAACATTTTCCATGTTTTTTTTTCAAGCTGGCATTGACCAGATAGAACACAATGGATTTAAGGAGCAATAAAAATATAAAATCTAGAAGCTCCGCAGAGGTTGAAAAATTACCAGCCCCAAATATTGTTTGCGAAATCCTAAATCTGCCATTGACTTACGGACATGTAGGACAGAGAAATTATACGTATTGAGTCAGTCAAACAGGCACATACAGTTAGTCCATATACATTATTTCCCTTTACACATCAGCGCGGCATCTCTGCAGCGTGGCAGGACTTGCCAATGTCGGGACGTGTTCGAACTGTTCGTCCTCCGGAAAATATGAAGAGAGTTCTTGAAACTGTAGTGGAGCGCCCTGAGACGTCTACCAGACATCGTTCTCAAGAACTGGGTATTCGTCGCACTTCATTATGCACTATTTTAAAAAAATGCATTTGCGGCCATACAAAGTTCAGTTATACTCAAGAACTACAACTTAGTGACCATGAAAGTCGCCGACGATACAGTCATGCAATATTGAAGCTTAACACCCAAAATAACGATTTCTGAGCGATGACGCCCACTTCGATATAAACGGATTTGTTAATAAGCAGAATTGTCGTATCTGGGCATTAGACCCTCGTGTCATCCATCAACGACTACTTTATCCTCGTGAAGTCACAGTTTGGTGCGGTGTTTGGTATGGAGGTGTCATTGGACCTTACTTCTTTGAAGGCGCTGCAGGTAATTCTATTATGATATGGTGCTCCTCAAATCCAACAATTTAACCATCAAAACCTGTGGTCCCAGCAGGACGGATCAACTTGTCACACAGCTACGGCAACAATGAATATTTTGCAAACAATATTGCCGGGTCGTTCAATTTCTCGATTTGGTGATGTCAACTGGCCACCAAGATCACCGGACTTAACGGCTCCTGATCTTTTTATGGAGATTTTTGAAAAATAGTGTTTATGCCAATAAGCCAATAAAACCAAAACCATAAAAATAGGGTGTCCGCAAAGTTGGAGTTTTCCTTTACACGACGTGTAGATCTTGAGAAAATAAGCGGATTTTCTCCGCAAACTCATTAAACCTGAACCAAGCCGAAGCCAGTCCTGTTCTATCCCTCGATCACGCCAGCGCACAGCTTACGAAGTACGATTACGATGTAAATACGGATTTTACGATAGAGCCGTACTTGGAATTTCAATTCAACTGAACAGTGAGTACTTTTTCATTTATTTTTTTTACTTGTTCGCTCACGTTTCACAACACAGCTTTGTTATATCAAGCGTAGTTGTGTCTGAAAAGAAAAACCCAACTTTGCGGACACCCTGCACTGTAGAACAATATGACGGAAGCAATTGAAAATATTCCTCCCGAAACCTACCAAAAAGTGATGGAAAATGTAATCAATAGGGGTCAGGTTTGCGGGGCTTCTAGATGCGGACATTTGTCTGATATTATTTTTCATATATCATTTCTAAATTTCATTTTACAAATATTCAAAATACAAACCAGTCAGTTACATATCGGCCACCCTGTATAAGCAGTGTTGCCATTTTGCAAGTAATTACTTGCATTTGTAAGGAATGAGGAGCCTTGCAAGTAAACTTGCAAGGAATGAGTGCTATGAACGCATTTGAAAGTAATTAATGCGATATTATATATATATATACACCTTGGGAAAAAACATTATTATACATTATGATGAGGAAGAGAGATGGAAATATACAAAAGTATGTAGGTGCGTGAAAGACACCCGATTGTAGGATCCTATGTGGCATCATCGGAGTGTGACGGACAACGGGGTAAAGTAGAAGAGTGATAAAAGAGAGAGATGGCAGAACGGGCGCTGGCGCCTACCGCTTAGACGGATGCGCTCAACAAATGCGATTTGTTTCTCCCATTCGCAGAGTTGCCGATACCAATATGTCATATTTCTAAGAAATCTAAGTCTACCCAAATTTAGTGAAAAATAGCTGCAGATTCCACATAAGAGTATTCCAAAAATGAAAAAAGTTCAAACTATTAAAATTATATTAATGTTTCATGGTTCAAATCATATTTTTCATGTTTGTATATTGTTGTATAAATGATTTTGTAACCCCTATTCTTGTTGCCAGTAGAGATACAACAGTATTGAGAGAAATCATGGACCGCTAGATAGGGCTACAACTACCATATGACTATCAAATAGTAGTGATAAACAGGGTTTGTTTATAGCACAGTTGCCTGGTGTGGCGAATTTGCGCGATAGAGGCGATTTGACAACTTTGAAGGACAACTATAAAGGTTACTATGGTGCCCGGTATTCGGGAATCTGGCAATACCTGATGATTCCTAACGTTTATTACGCCAGATTGTTTGCTGACTTGCGCAGTACAACATGACAATCAACGTGACTGAGCACCTGGTAACCCTGGTTTAAGGTGTTATATTTAAAGAGCTTGGGGCAGTTAGGTATCTAGGTCACATTTTTTAATATATTTCGAGAAATCCGTAATGTTGAGTAAATACTAGATCACGTTTCTTGCTTAGTTTGCTGAAAATTCTACAATAGACGTACATTTTGAGAAACAGAGATTTGGTGACGACAAAATCGTAAAGATATAACGCATTTTCGAAAAATAATTTCTTTGTTGAAAAGACTGTGGCTTGATGACTCATTGAACGGGTAGGTATAGTGTCCCGCTCCGCTTTGAATATTCGAAACACTCTACTCCAACAGCATTCAGCTTCAATGTTATCTTTATGAAGTTCTAACGTCTAGGCCATGCTGATTAAAAGCTTGAATGAATCAACACTTAACTCTAAATTCCCCACAATTCGGGAAGCTCTACTCAAATTGGCAACACAGCGTATCTGCCTATTATTCTCATTCGTGATACAGGTCTGCGCTGTTGCCAAGAAATGATTTCCCATGTATAACAATGGTTTTTCCTAAGGTGTATATATATATATATCTATCTTTGCTTAGACTTGGACTACCGAACACTGATCACTGGAGGTTTCACGTTTTAGATGAAGACAGATATACCGATCTGCTCGGTATGAGAATTCATAGCACAGGTTCTCAAAAAATTCATTCAGCGATAGAATTGGACTTTCAGGAGATTTCAATACTTGTCATTATTCAACGGATACAAACACTTTGAACTTTGCAAGTAAAACGGTCTGGTATTTGCGAGTAATCTGGCCACTAGGCTGTGAGAATACTCAAAATCTGCTTTTTTGCTAATCAAAGAAAATCAAAATTCCAGCGGGAAAGTTCACTTTTTGATTTAAGAAAAAAAAATACAAATTTAATGAAAAGAAAATATTTATTACTATCAACATATTCGTAAATTCGGCGGGTTTTATTTCTTAAATAGCATTCCGTGCAAATGTTGGCCATCCCTTCGGACACACTCTTCTAATCGCGCGCGCAAATTCTGAATCGCTCGCTTGCAGAGTTCCGGAGTGATGTTGTTTATTTCTCGTCGAATGTTGTCTTTAAGCTCCTTCAGTATTCGTGGATTATTAGAATACACTTTTGACTTTAGATAACTCAACAAAAAATAATCGCATCGCGTGAGGTCGCGTGAGGCCAGTGAATGTCTCCAAACTTAGATATAACTTTTTGATTAAAAATTGCTTTCACCGTGTCGTGTCCACCGGTTCTCTGGAAGTATGGGCAGTGACCCCATCCTGTTGAAACCATGTGTTTCTGTTAAATCGACATTCTGTTCTTACAATAGGAACAAAAAAAGTGTCAATCATGTCCTTGTATCGCTGAGAATTGACTGTCAATGCATCACCATTTTTATCTTCAAAGAAATGCGGCCCAATAATACCGCTAGAGATGACTTATTATGCCATGCAGTGTTGACCTAGGGATTCCCAAAGCGGCGGAATGTTGCCGTTCAGAACCCCGAGGATTTGCAATGACCGAATCACTTACTCGACGCACATTTTCGTCGGTTGATACAGTAGGTGTGGGGCCAGGATTGATTTGACTAAGAGTAGAGCCTGTTTCACGGAACCTCTTAATCCACTTTTTCAATAGGTAGGTTCTTACTTGGGGCATCTCTTGGTCGGCGAATGTTGTATCGTGTACAAAATTTCCGAAGGGCAGCTGCATATGGATCACCACTCTTAAAGTAAGCCTCGATAGCAAAAGCACGTTGCACTCCGGTCCAACGTTCCATTGTGACTATTTAACCCGCACGCCGAACGCGTCGATCCAGACCTCTCCCCACTTCCTCGCGTATACGGTTGCCGCGTAATTCAAATTTGAAATGTGAACTTTTCTTCCTGATTACTTTAATGTATTCGAATACTCACCGTTAAGTTATGTTGTTGTTCATGATAAAAATCGTAGTTAGGACAAATCTTGGACTGTACTGGAAGAGAAGATTCTTCTGTATGAGAACTGGATGGGAACGTTCGCATTCCATCATATCTCCGAACGATAGTAGTTGACGTTGACCCAACTGAAGTTTTGATCCTACTGTCACCCTCTATGCATTTTCCTTGAGGCATTGTAGATCCATCTTCTTCATGAATACTAACATCTGGCATCAGTTTAAAGATGTTTTGAGGATCCTCAGCGATGAATCTTGAAACTTCCCCATATTGGGAGTCTTGCGGGGTATCATCGTATAGAGAGGAATCGGGAGTGAATACCTCTCTCCATTTTTCCTGGCTTACAATTGCTTCGTTGGCCTCTTGACTTTGTATTGATTGTTCAGGGATGTACTCTCTTTGTAAATCTATTTCTTGATGTCTTAAATCTAGTGGGACATCGATCACTAAAATATGACCTTGAAGTTAACAGCAATCGACGACAGAAGGGGCACAAACCGTACGGAAAACAGCCCCACGATGAATCTTGCTCAAAATTTGAGAATAAACTCTCCATAGCATCAAAAGTTTTCATGGGCTCTTAGCAAGCCTATGAAGCATTTCCATTATATACAGGGCGTCCCAAACATGCAAGAACGGAGTATTGCTCCTAAATAAAAACTCATCAAAGAATAAATACTATTTATGTTGCATTATACATTTCTAAAATTCTCACAATTATATTGGGTGTCCCAATCTTGCCTACATCAGAAACTTTTTTTTAAATGGAAGGCCACGTGTTATTACGCACTCGGATAGGCCCTTTTAAAAGAAGAATATCGGCATTACCTACTTATGGGTTTTGATTATTAGTTATTGGAATATTAGGTATTTTTCTAAAAAAAAAAAAAATACACTAGTTCGACAACTTACATATCTGCTGACTTGACAGTATGCATTAGTGTAGGCGTAAATAAAACATAGGTAGTTAGAATTTCGCAGATTTAATCGCGACCCAGGTCACGCCAAAGTCCTCACTTTCGACTCCGAGAAAAGAAAAAAGATTCCACACTGATCTACAATAGTCAAATGGCTCAAGGCCATTGTCAGTAATAAATCTTGACCATGACCAAGTTAATTTTTTTGCTGATCATTGATATGGTAAAAGTGAGTCAATCAAGTTCACAAACTTCATAATAATTAACCTAGATCTCAACCTACAAGATCATATAAGGTCTAGTGACTTGTGTTCAAGAGTAACTCAGTATCAGTAGCACCAGTAGCATATCCCCTTCAAAGCAGTTCACTTGACCATGACGTAACCTTGAAGGTCATGGTCAAGATTTACTATTGGCAAAGGTCATGGCTGAACGTGGATATTTCAATGTGGAATATCTCACTCTTTTTATTTCCGTAACCAGAACTGGGGTGTCTCATCGAAAAGAAGTGACTTGATCTTGACATGACCTTGACGGTTATTCACTGCTTATGTTTTCATAAATAGATTATTGTAAATCTTTGGTGTTCTTTAGATAATTATAGCCCAATAACTAATAATCAAAACCCATAAGTAGGTTATATCAATCTTCTTTTTTTAGAAGTGCCTTCCCGAGTCTGTAATAAAAAGTAGGGCTTTCCAATAAAAAGAATATTTTTGATGTGGGGCAAAATTGAGACACCCTGTATAATTGTCAGTTTTTATTTATTTAGAAGCAATACTCCGTTGTTGGATGTTTCGGATGCCCTGTATATCATGGCAACGCTTCATTGGATTGCTAAGAGGCGATGAGAACTTTTTGATCAGGATGCTCTGGAGAGCTTTACTCCCAAAGTTTGAGTAAGATTCACCGGAGACTGATTTTCGAAAGGTTTGTTCCCTCTCTTTTGCTGCTTGGTAGTTTAAAAGTTGATAATTTCATTTGAAGGTTTTAAAATGACTTTCAAATAAATTTCAAGGCCGACTTTACGTTCAAAGTTACAGTTTTTAAAGTGATTGTTTGAAATTATACAACTGCAGCATTGAATTTTTTGTCAACAACAACACAATAGCGACTTTAAGCATGCTTATAGTAGGAGATGAAATACTCCTTCAATTTTCAAGGTCAAATAAAATAATTTCTATTTAAGATTCTCAAATTGATATTCAAGGCCAATGTTAACTGAAGGTTCGTATAGTCAGTCGTTCCTACAATTGTAGAATGCCCCCTTGATTTTCATAGTTTTCTACTGCCCCGAGTCAGCGCTCTATTTTGAGGTTATGTTTACAAATCTCTATTTGCAACAAATTGTTCATGCTTTTGATTTATATGATCTGTTATATAGCCTTAAATTTCCTACAATTCAATAGGGAAACATAGCCTCAAAACATGAGAACTTTGACGCTGACACGTAGTAAAAATCTAGAAATGCCCAGCCTGAATAGAAAATACTATGAAAACTACGGAGGCCATAAAGGCGTCCTACAATTTTAGTAATGACTGACGATACGGCCATAAATGTTACCGCTAGTTGGCGACAGAGATAAATGCATCACCCTGTATGTTATTTTCTCCAACGTAATTGTTCATAGTGGGTTGATCACATGGTAGTTGTTGCAAGGTTCTTTCAGTAAACGGTTGTATGTTTATGTTGTAACCTAATCTGAATAGTTCGTTTTGATACGTGATCAATAAATCATTGATTGCTCGTACTGTGAGTTCTTGCTTATTCTTCAGTCTTCGAAATTCTGATTCTATGGTGTATTTTAGGCGACATTTTGGGTCCAATGTAGCCATATCAATTGCCTAAAATATATAAGAAAATAGAACGCAATCTTTTGGTTCTTATTTAGTGAAATGGTGTTTTCGCAATAAGTACCTTCGGCTTTTTTGTAATCTTCTGCAGAATTTCATCGACCCATTTCATGACGTAATCAGGCCAAATATTCCTGACAATATAAACTCCATATTGCCTGACAGACGTGACACCTGGTAGGAGCGAATATTTGTAATGCAATTTGAATGATCTGGGATCGTCTCCTATAGGAACTGTCTCCATCTGCCATCTGCAATAAAATGTATAGCAGGTGTATAATTGTGTAAAATCCTTTCTCATAGAAATAAGACGATATAGTTCAACTTTACCAATGTTGTCTATTTTTTATAACTTTCACGATTCCAGAATTCTAAAATATACGCTTTTCTTATATTCATAAAATAGCTGGCCAAACCTAGAGACAATTTTTTTGATAAATCCAAGACAAAATTTTTATATATAATAGATATCTTTAGACAGAAATTTCAGCAATTCTTCAGTCTGGTTTTGTTGCGACTTATAGTTTTATTTTTTTCGAAAACTTGAATTTCCAAAAAAAGTGTGTCATTCTGTAGCTTGAAAATAAAGATTATATGCCGCTCTTAGAAAATTTGGCCCGGTAATTTATTAATATGCTATACATAGGACAAAATATTAAAAGTTGCTTCAGAGTACTGAAAAACACCTCATTTTCTTAATATTTTGTTCCATGTTAGTCGATAGAATATGTGTATCGTTATCGCCCTTTAAGAGAGTGTGGGACTGATATTTAGCGTAAGTGGTACTGGTTTGTTTAGTCTGAAGTCTGCCTAAAGTGGAACGAATTGTTTATTTCGATAAGAAAAAACGCACCATACCACTTCAACATACATACTTCACGTGGTTGTTTACGTTTATTTTGAATGCCACTAGAAATATGTCGAACAAGCGAGATCACCTCTACTTGTTAAAAAAATAACTTTTTAACCCCTCAGTGACGAAACTAAACATAATGCTGTCATAAGTACAAAAGATATAAGTTCCACTAAGAGCCCGTAACACAAAACCGTAGAGGATCCGTTAGAAGGTTTATCACCCCCCGGTTAAATTGGTCAACAATTCAAATCGACCAGGTCTAATAATACATTTCATACCTCGCAAAGTTGCTCATCATCTGAAAGATGAAAATTCAACTACCCAGCTTCTCAGCACAAGACCGCCATGTTTCAAAGATCGTTCATATATAATGCGATCAGGATGTATACTCAGCTTCCACAAGAATTCAAGCTTCTAAACATGAACACGTTCCATTGCAAATGAAAACTTTGTTTGATAGCAGTAGGATCAATGATAGTGGGAATGCCTGAGTCGCTCAACTCATATTGGAAAACCTAATTTACAATATTGTAGCGTTTTTCTGGGTTCTTTTGGGTGTGGATTAAAACACTGGAATCCGCAAAAAGAAATGCACTAATTTATTTAACTTGACTAGATAGAACATTTATGTACACCACTATTTATGTCTGACTAATTCATATGTCGCTCCATTGACTGAACTATACTCCACTCTGCTCTACTCTGCTTCCATCTCCCGGCCGTCGAGTTATATAGTCCGCATTGTCGATTCGAGAAGATTCCGGTGAGCCACATAGCGGCATTCCAGAATCGTCGAGGTCACTTCACGTCGATCTAGAAGGCGAGTCACTGGCACGGTCCTCAACATATGTCACAAAGCGGCATGAGCGGTCGCGATCCGCGTAAAAACAGACATCGGCCATAAAGCTCTGGTGAGTAGGAGAGTCTCCCAATACATGGCGCCAACAGTACTACTTCTTTGGTTTAGCATATTAGCTAGACTTCGCCACTGGTATTGTACATGTATTATATTATGTCATAATTTTTTTCTATATGAAAATGAAGATGGTTGTTTATTATTATTATTATCATCCGGGTGAGCGGGCATCCGTGAAATGTACCGGTTGGCGGATTGCGGTTCCCAGGGGTTGAGGGGCGGCTCAATATCCATCCAAAAAGTCGGTCACTACGCTCATCTGTTGCATTTTTTGAGGAAAGATAGAGATGGGCCTGCCCTTGTCGAAGCATGCGCGGTAGGCTGACTTTCCCCCTTTTTACATTGCCCACTGCGCTTCGCAACCGTCCCCCTCAAGTGGGGGAATCGACTCCACATGTTAAATGTAAAAAACCACTAGTGCAAACAGATAATCATTTTTTATTGCATACTGCGCTGGGTTGGCGGAAGATTGGTGTCTATTAAAAACAATACATATTTATAGGAGAGAAATATAGAAAACCCTAAAACGCGTTGCGCAAGGTATTGCTTTGAAACGATCGGCCGACAATCTTCTGCCAACCCACCACTGTATGCGCTGTTTGCGCTTGTTTTTTCCTTCCTTCCTAACATGTGGGGACGATTACCTAACTGGGAGGGAGGTGATATTTTATTTCATGGTTTAAGTGATACCTTAATAATTTTAGTGGGGAGTTTTTGTTTCCAAAAAAAAACCAGTCATGAATAGAATACCTCTTAAGACATAAACACCAAAGACGAAAGTATCATTCGAAAACAACCTAACCTGCTTTAACATAACCTAACTATTCATCCTTCAAATATGATCGATCATGCAACATGAAAACATCGTCTAACTTTGTCAGATACATGCAAATTAGCAATACAGTTTGTTTAGACAATACAATTCTGTTTGTGTCTCTCTAAAATATTTGAAACCATTAAAAATATTCACAAATCGCAGTCGGTTGTCTACAGACTAAAATAAATACGTAATCGTCATCTTTCGTGATTTCGACTATAAATTAGCCAACCGCAGGGTTATTACGTAAAAAACATTGCTGACTAGATAGCTGATAGTGTGAGCGTCTCATCGACATGCTGCAACTCAGTTCGCCAGCATGCTTTGTTGGTTGCATAATGTCGAGATAGTTTGTAGTATATATATCTCTGAGAAGATGAAGTAGCAAGATGGCATATGGATGATTGTGTGGAGATTGTGTGTATTGGTCTACATGCGTATGAAATCAATGATGTTTGTTTTGTGAGAAAATTATTACTGAATATGCTACCCTTGAAGGACATAATCTATTAGATGTATAGTAATGTACTCAGTCATATATACGAGTATAAGAACATCTTGTATAATATTTTAGTTAGTCATAATTTGTATAATCATAAAGCATATATTTTATAGTGTTCACTGAACCTTTTCCAAAATAAGTTATTAGTGTTAATTCGGTACACAAATATAATTAAGAGTATTTCCTATGTTCAAAATGAAGTCTATTCTTTTGTATTGATTTTTTGCGATCTTGCATCTATTCCTATAGCCAGTAAATTAGATTTTAAGCACACTATTAGGAATAAAGGTATATCAGACGGGCTATTTGTGATGTCATTTCTGAAGAGACGTTATGTTCAAATTTATAAATTACGGTTTTCACCGTTTTTTTGCGTTTTCAAAAACTTTGAGAAGCATTACAGGAAATCACCAACGCGCCCGCGTTGAATATAATCAAGCCATATCACAGAAAAATCAGGAATCTAAGCGCTGATTTGTATTTTCTACTTAACATCGCAAAATAAATTGCTATAAAATTGGAATAACTGGAAATGATGAATAATGTAAAATGTAATAACATTTTCATAAATATTCCTGTCTGAAGCCTATTTTCTCACCTGTTAGTTCACCGACCAGGGATTTTCTGAAATTTAACAAAGTTGCATACGTAATTTTCAGGATAAAGCATTCATCTCGAGTAAGTGTATTTGAGGCAAGAAACCAAGGGAATTATCATCAACACAGGGTTGTCTCTATCACCCCCCCCCTTCAAAAAAATTCTGCCAACAGAGTCTTTCTGGGGGAACCGCAACCCGGCAACCGTTTCATTTCATTGATGCCGTGAACCCAGTATACCTTGAAGTGGAAAACCTTCCTTCTAACAGATTCTCTAGGGTTTTGTGTCCTGGGCCAATTTTAATAAACTGAGTACCTAACTTGTTAACTGATAGTACAAGTATTTTATATATTGTTTTTGGATGTTTAATATCATCAAATACTTTTTATCCATTGAGTTACTGAAACTATATATATGTTACCATAAGTACAAGCTGTTTGAAGTTTCGATAGATCAGTGACGATTATACTTGATAGATTGCATTTAACTACTATATACAAATTAATTAATGAAGGAATTTTATATTGCTTTGTCTAGCTCTTGTTCACTACACATACTTGCAAAACAGGATGTCGTCTGATCAGGGTCAGTGCCCTCAAGTAGTCGCTGTGGCGGAACGGCTCAGGGAGCTAACTTGACAGAAAACAATTTAACCTCTTGGTCAAAGGTCTATTAGGGCCCTAATTTGGTATGTAGTTTCCAATTTTGGACAAAAAGGATTAAACTCTCAAGACAACTCAACTTTTGAGGACATCATTTAAGGATATAATTACTAAAATTTGGCGAATATAGGTAACGTTTGGAAACCAATTTTAATAAATTGCTAGTTGGGATAAGACAGTAGCAGAACACAAAGATGACTTTCGAAATCAACTTTGAAAAGAATTGGTGGATAGCTGGCGCTAGGATCTTTCATATACCTGTTTGACCTCTCTCAGGTCCTCCAAGCCCGATCGAAGATCGAAGCCCTTTGAAAATTAGGGAGGCTGGAGACATCTGTATATAAGGAGCAAGGATGTCTGTGAAGAAGGCATCCCCAAATGCAATCTGATAAACATTTATTGACTGAGTAGCTGACAAAACAGTTCACAACAACAAATGGTTGATACTCCATAATTAAGTTTGGTAAAACGTTGTTCCTCGGTGGCGGATCTGAGGTACCCGGGACCTGAAGAAACCATTTTTTAGGAGGCGCCTGAAGCTCCGAGAATTGTAAATTGGAGAGCGGGAGGATGGGGGCAGGGACGTCATGGTTCTCGAGAAACAAACTTTCTCTAATTTAGAATTACTGGACCTGTGTTGTGGGGACACTTTCCTGCCGAGGGTCCGGTACACAGTGCGTCGTCTGCATCATCCTATAGTTCTTTTCACTCTTTTTGGCGATTACGACAAAATGCCATATGACATAATTAAACAGATTGATGAAGGTCCTTTTCGTATAGCAGTCGCCAACCTGTCAGTGACCGTGTCCAAGATCCCGCCACACAAATTCCGTTCACTCTGCTACGCTATACAGGGTGACTTTGAAGTTGAGTCATTAATTTTCAGATAATGATTGTAGAAGGAAGATAAACCAAAATATGTGTGTAAAAATAAAAAAAAATTAAAAAAAAATTTTTACGTTGTTTTATAAAGTATCCTCCCGACAAGTATTTCAGTGCAGACCTGTATTTGATCGTGAGGTCTTGGAGCACCGGCATGCAGTCCTCTGTGAGGTCTTAAGTCATCTGATTCACGAGCCCGTTGTACTACATTAACAAAGGCACGAGGGGTTGGTTGCACTCGATTGGGAAATCGATCCGCATAAATATGTGCCATTTTTTATTTCGTTTGAGCCACGCAGCAAACACTACTATTCACTCACGCGTTCCCGACTGACACAGAATGAATAAAAACATCGTGATCAGCGTTTCAGATTCTTTCGCTTTTTTGTTTCCGATGCGATGAACCGATAAGGCGGAGTATATCCGTTGTCGCCAAACACGAGCACATAATATTATTATTGAGACAGGGCGGTACTCAAACTTCTAAAGGGCTATAACTTTGTTACTTTAATTTTACCACAAAAATGTTAAAGGAAAAAAACATTTCTTTTGATCAGATCTACTCAGTGTTAAAATAAATGACTCAACTTCGAAGTCACCCTGTATAAACGGAATTCACACGGCCGGATACCAGACACAGTCACCGACAAGTGACCGACCACTGTACAAACAAAGCTTAACTGTACCATATGCGGAGCTTAAAACTGCTCACTTTCTAAAAATACTCCAATTAGTTCAACACTGTCAAAATTGTATCTGAAAGCATTGCCATGTTTTATATCTAGATCAAGAAAGGTAAACTAAAATCGAACGGCCATGACAAGCAAGTTGTCATGCTGACAGGAAGAAACTCAAATGTAGTAAGCTGGTACGTAGACAAGAAAACACACATAACGCTGACATCAGTTCATAAAGAATTATGTTCGGCAAGAGCTGGTCCTCTGAGAAGGAGTTAGCTACGAAAATGAATAAAAGAGATAATAAAAAGATGAAGTTCGTCAAACAGGCCCATACAATCAAAATTTTCATATTTAGCATGATTTTGGGCCACTTTAGTATTTGGCCTCCATCTGAAAATATGCTCTTCAAAAAGTTATCTCGGACAGCCCTTCCTCCTTCACTTGTCAATAATTTCTTAATGTTACATACAAATAACTACATCAAGCAACAAATTATCATATAAAATACATGGACGGTTCTACAGAACACTTCAAGTATCAGTCACTACTCGAATCGCTATTATTCAATTGACCTTCGAATTCCTAAGTTCTGAAAAGATGATAGCCTTGAATAACTTGTCATGACGCACAAAGAAATATTGTAAAGGTATGAGATGTTTTTGTTTAGCGTTTTTGTGTCAAGGGTATCTATCTGTATTCAAACATGATTACGTTTACTTACATTTTCACGTTCGGGTAGATATCGTACAGCTTGGTCAGCAAAACAAAATGCGTCGTAACATAAACAAATGCAGACGATTGCAGTAACTTTTCCACTATCGCAATGGCCAAAGCGGTGCCTTCCTTTACAGATGTTGAACGGCATAGTTCGTCTATGATCACTAGCGAGTTGCTTGTTATCGTTGACATCACGTAATTCATTTCTTTCATCTAGACAAAGTAACAATAATGCCTGTTTATTACATTATACAAGGACAGAAATTACTCATCACGACGAAATGCAGCAAGCACGGCCGTGGTGAGACGTACTCATTTAGCGGCGAATGAGCCACGGTTCTAGTAGCGAATATGCTTTCTTGAGAGAATCGCACACTGGATAGGAAATATATTTATATTCAATTAATTTAATTATATGTACTAAGATTTCGACTTTTGTTTTTATTGCTAGCGCACACACTTTCATTTTACTTCCCACGACTACTGGCGAGGAAATATTGTAATTGCGAAGAATGAAAAAAAAACAGAGGATCCTGATCATTTTTGAAAAATATTTTACTGGTAAAAATTGAGGAACGAGGGGTTGTAGGGGGTGGGGTAGGGTATATCTCAATATTTTACGATGTCAGTATACTTACACGGTCCCAACCTCAAACAATTGATTCTACACACTTATTAGACATATTTCTCCGTACATTTGCCCGTAAAACTTCGAATGATAGAGAAATGTTTTCGATAATCGTCTGCAAACTGGTATCGGAGAAAGGCGACATTACCAGATGGACGATACTACGGCAGGGGTATTAAGTATTTTGAAAAGTGACTTTAAGTCGGTTTTTTAAGATTATATAGGTTTTTTTTGTGAGATTATGTAGGTTTTCTTATAAGATGTCAACTTGGAACTAGCTGTTGTTTGCTTGATGTGCACTCGTTGTGTAGCTGTACGAGTACGTGTTGCCTAAACTGCATGATGCATAAGCTATCTATCTATCATGGTTTGGCTCTGATATGTTGTAACATTTACTGGAGATGTGTGGTAATTTCCCGTAAGGCTTCTGAAACTTTTTGAAAACGCAAAAACGGAATTTATAACTTTGAACATAACCTCTCTTCAGAGCGCACAACACAAATAGCCCGTCTGATACACACAGCAAATATCACTGATTTTATACACATGCACACCAATACACACAATCATATCATCCAGATTCGACCTTGCTACTCTGATACACAACCAATTTTCTTTTGTCACATCTCAGAGATATATCTACTTTACATTCTACAGGGTGTAAACGTTATATTATTTAAATGGGTGATAGAGGGGGTTGAAAAAAGCAAGAAGTTTCATATAACATGGGGGTCAAAACGGCACTTTTTTAGGTATTATTTCATTATTTGATAATGTACTCGTAAAATGCAAACCTTTAAAAAAACGGACTTACCACTAACTGTCTCAGCGCTTCACCTGGTGTGTGAAAGTTTATTGAAAGTATTAAAAAAATCCACTTATAAATAAGGAACATAATTTTGATACATACGAGTACATTGTTTTTCTTTTTAAAACCCACACTGCACTTTTTTTGTATTTAAAGAAGGTGTTCAAAATGTCGTCCTCCACTTTCCACACAAGCTTCATTACGACGAACCCAGTTTCTTCCCTCTAGGTCCTCGAAGTTGTTCATTTATTATTTCAGCCGCATTAAATTTTTTTTTCGCGAAGTGTTGCTTCAGTTGTTATTGGACCAGCCCCATAAACCATCCCTTTAAGTTCTCCCCAATACCAGAAATCCATCGGATTGAGGTCAGGAGATCTTGCTGGCCATTTTCGAGGATCAGGAGCATTTCGACCGATGCAGCGATTTGGATAATATTCATTCAAATACTGAGTTACTGAGTGACGCCTCTAAAAATGTGTGGTGGTGCCCCCTCATGAAGAAACCACAAATTCTGTCTCCGTTGTAATGGCATGTTGTCTAAGGTCTGTTCCAAAAGTTCTGCACAAATGTCCTTCTGTCTGGGTGTACCCGTTGTCGAAATCTGTCGCGATAAATTTGAGCTGCAAGATTTGAATTCTGACGAGCTTCACCGTAAACTAACAACATGTAAGAAGAAGAAGATTGTAAATATACACAACGACGTACGCGAACAAAAACTAATAACCACTGTTACCGTTTGCGATCGATTGCCGGTTCGATAAGAGTGATGAATGACCGACGCGCTGTTGTCATGTGTGTTTCAAATATTAATTTAATGAAATTTACTTACTTACTGACTACAAATTTTGGCTTAACTTAGAAAAATTTAATGCCATTTATTTGTTAATTGCCCAAGTTAAAAACGTTTTAGATAAGAGTAAAAAAAAATAGTACGATTGTGGTGATTGAGGTCGATATAAAGCACTTAAAGTTGTAAACTATAGAGCCATTTAGACAAAAATCTATTGACTTTTGGACCATGGGTTATATGAACTTTTTGACTTCTTTTGACCCCCCTATTACCCATTTCAATAATGGCTACCATAACATTTACACCCTGTATATCGGACTTCTGCAATCAAAAAACCTTGCTGGCGAACCGACTTGCGTCATGGTTGTTCAGCATGTCGTTGAGTCATTCCTCCATAGGAGACGATATGGGTGACGCTCACCAGGTCTCATAGCGAGCAAAAGCGGAATTAACTCAAATAGTTGCACACTAGGAGCTACCTAGTCAGCAAGTTCACATTTTGTCTGTTTTTTGCATTATATAGGTTTTTTACGTAATAACCCTGCCGGTAGGGCAGGTAAAGTATGTCTATGGACTAATTGTACGGTGCCGTTTAACTGACTTGATACGTTTAATTTCTCTGTTATACACCTTCGTAACCAATTTTTTTCTCAGAGAGTCTAGCTTGTGCTGAACATAATACTTTATGAACTGATACCGACGTTGCGCGGGAAGTGCAAAGTTAACCTACTTGACGCCATTTTTATATGTTTTTTGACTTAATGTTTAAAGCAGTTTAAAGTGTTGCGACCATTCGAGGTTTCTTTTCGCGAAAAAATGTTGCACTCATGCATATTTTATGTCCTTTTGACAAAACCAGTTTTCTATATTAATGTTCTTATGGTGCATACTTTGAACTTGTTCAAAAATGTCGCGCGACCTGGAGGAGCTCGTGTTGGCAACTGTCAACAGTGTCACATTTCAAAGCTTTGACTTTTGTATGCAACCAGCTTTCGCATGATTCGAAAATTGATCATAACAGCGTGCACAAGGACAAAGGAATTTAAAAATATTTTTAATAAATACATAACAACATGAGACACGAAACGACATGTTTCATGTTTTTTTGTTTTGGGGCAAATTTAGGATGAATTAGAACAGAGTGTTTCAAACGCAGAAACTATCAGTATTGTCAAAAGGAGACTCCATCTTACGTGGTAACGAACTTCGTCATTGAATACTTGTGCCAACTTGGTTTTTTAATAGGGGGGGGGGGGGGTCAGGGAGAGATTTCTGGGGGTTGGACTTGTTAAAAGCTACGTCATTTAATTTAGCCGAAAGCCGTTTTCCATAAGACAACTGCAAATCCCTTTGTAGAAGGTGCATATTTTTGGAAACTTTCCGAATGTGCTGGCTTCTAAAACACAGTACTGAATCTAGACGAACAAACAGGGTCCTAGCGCTCATCCGATGTCGATGGATGGCCGAATTCTACCAAAGAGCTGTTCATTTCGGCTAGTCGGAGTCCAGATCACCGAGGACTTGATCTGGCACGAACACATCTCGTCAATAGCGGCAGCTGCTAGGAAAAAGCTAGGATATTTGTTTAGGGCTAAGAAGTACTTTTCTCCTAATGACCTCCTCACTTTGTACAATTGATCAGATAAGACCTAACCTCGTGTAATGCTCACATGCTTAGGGTGAATCATCCATGCTTGATGCTGTTCAGAGGAAGACTGCCCGACTGATCGATGACTTCTCTAACGGACAGTCTCGGGACCCTTTCGCACCGGCAGGCCGTCGGTGATCTAGCTCTCTTCTACCGCTACGCCAAAGGGGTTTGCTCCTCAGAGCTCCCTTCCATTATTCCGCCGCGCGATGTGTCTACCAAACAGACCCGCATGACTTCAAGCTCACGTACTAACCGTGTCGAATTTCGTACATCCAGAACTGGCCGATACGACCGCTCTTTTGTCTCTAGGGTATCGAGATTGTGGAACAGTCTACATGAGGAGGATTTTCCCAGATCTGCTAACCTTGGGCAGTTCAAAAATTGGATTAACAAAGTTTCTTCAAGCTCCTCATAGCAGCCCCGATGCGCTGACATTTGAGCTCCTACCTGCACTGCTGCTTATGTGTGAAAAAAATGTGGCCGAAACCAACGCCGAAACTTCGGTCAAACCCTCAGTTTCATATTATATCCACAGAATTTTATGACATCCTGTATAGCAACAAAACTATCCTTTGGATATCATATCTCAGCCACCACAAATGAAACTTTTATCACCCTGATACAAAGCTTACCGCGGCGGGCATCAAACGCAATGCCGCCATTCTCCGCAAGCTTCTTCTTATACTTAGGTCTTCGCCGCCTTATTCAACCAATTCAACCCCTCGGTTTTATTACAAGAACCCCACGCAGGCCGTCTGTAATTTAACAGTGAATTTTTTACGAGCAAGAAATCTGCGTAATAATCGACTCTTTGGAAATTGTGCATGAGCGCAGCTTTACCTGGCTGCACTTGGTCAGCTTCAGGCAGATCAGCTTCTTGCAGTTGCTGAAATAGAGCGTGTGCGACACGGTGGTGTTGAATATTTATAAGCGAAGAAGAGAAAGAGGGTTGAAATATGATCGTGGCACAGTTAAATGGACGTTGGGTAAGTAATTATATGTATTGCGCGAATGCAATATGTGGGCCAAATACGGTTTGTTTAGAAATGGGTCAAGTTGATTGATTAAGTATTATTACACATTAGTGAATGTTTATATACTTACGCACTTATAAAGAAGAGCTTTTGAAGTTGCACCAAGCATAAAAATAACTATATATATGCATAACATAAACATTAGAGCTTTTGGAAAAAATAGGTTGAGAAAAAATGCTGAGTATCATTAATGATCTCGACAGCGTGAGCAATGAGCCCAATGTAATTCAAAATATTCGAGCTTATAAAATAACGCATTGTCTGCTACCCAAAATAATAATATTAATAATAGTACTAATAATATAAGTTTGTTCACGTTAAAATGTTACATTGTATTTAACATTAATACATATACGCAAATAACTAAAAAAAATCTAATTTAATTCTTGTACGTGGGAAACACATATTTATAGCAAATTTTGGGTTACACATCTTACAAACATAAAGGTAAGGATAGTAAAACGTGATACTCAGACTTTAGTTAACTTTGAGTGAGAGCAGAAGATCTAAGACAATACGGGGATCAAAATAAAAAAAAATCGGATATTGCAGATTATATTAAAAAGTAAGCAGGGTATCCAACCCTACCATAGTAGTTTCTGATACATGCTGTGGCATTATAGATGTTCTAATTACGTGCTTTTGATTTTTTTTGCATATGCTTTTATTCGCGAAAGACAAGGAAGTTTCTGACAGATGGGTGAGCCGTCAGACTTTTGAACAGGGGCGGCTCGAAAATTTTATCAACAGGGAGCTCAAAGTCATTTTGAACCCCGTATTCGCTTAGGTCTTTTACAAGTGAGTTTTTTCATTCGATTTGATTTTTTTATTCCAATTTTGGATATATTTATGTACGAAATGGATTTATATGACTTAGCAGAAACTTATAAAATCTGGCGCAAATGAGCATCTTTGACCTACATTATTTATTGTAAATTGTGTCCTTTTTATTTCTTCATTTCTTGTTTCATATTTGTGGTCCAGTGAAATAAGGCTTATTTTGTTTTTGACTATACTAATCACAACGTTGTAAAAGAAGAGTGGCCTAATGGTCTAAGAAATATAGCAAAATGTTTGGGGGAAATTGTAAGTGAACAAATTATTTGACAAAAACATGTGAAATGGGTTGGTCAGATAAAAAAATGTTCCGCTTTAATTTTTAATTTGCGAACAGACTCAGCTTACTGTGGTTTAAAAAATATATGAAATTATTTCTAAATTTATA